TCATAGGAAGTAAAGGTGACAGTGATTCTTGAGAGACAGAAAACAAGAAAGGCAGGCCCCTCCCACTTACCCCATGGAGAAAGTTTTAGGATATACACAGGGTCATCCTGGAGAGGAAAGAAAAAAATAAAAAAGGAACTCTGATGAGCTTCAAGGCTTTGCCTTGAGTGCTGAGTGGAGTTCTGATGATCATCGATATGTGAAGAGACTATGAAGCTGGGGAAGGAATCACACAAAACAATTCTAGGAAACAATCTTTTAAGACCATGTAGGAATGAAAACAGTGCTTTTTCTTGCTGCCAGAAAAGAAAGTCTCATAGTTCAGGGGTACTAATCAGAGTACACAGGAGGAGTTTGTTCCAGAAAAAGAGAAAAATAGCCTTAGATTAGCTGTAGCTATGGTCTTACCTAGCAAAATAATCAACATGTTTTCAAGTAACTTAATGACATCCAGAAGAAAAATCAAGCATATTCATAAGAATATGTAAAACATCTGTCTTCCAAGAAGGTACAATTAATATTGCCTAGTATTCAATCAAAAATTAACCGAAGTGCTGGGGAGATAGCTCAGTGGCAAGGTACTGAGTTCAATCCCCACCATGTGGAAAAAAAAGACAGCAGTGAAATAAAAAGATACAATCCATCATTAGAAGAGAGATCAATTAATTGAAGCTGAGAAATTATTCAAATGGTAAAATTAATTAAAGGAAATAGAGTTATAATGGCTGTATTGTATGTGTTCAAGGAGCTAGAGAAAAGATTAAATATGTTAAGTAGGCACCATTTCTATTGACAACTATATTGTGTGAAACGTGAAATAAAAGGGGCAGGATTAACAAGAAATTATAATTTTTAAATATTAGTACATTTAAGTACAAAATGATAGAATCCATTTAAAGTGAAACAGAGAAAAAGGATTTTAAAAATGAACAGAACATCAGTGAGTAATGGAATAATACCAAATAATCAAATATATTTCTAAAAGGGAAACAAGAAAGATACTGAAAAATAATTGTTGAAAAATTTCCATGCTCAATCAAAGAAATAGAACCAACTCCAAACACAAGATTCATGAAGAAAAATCACAACTCTCATAATCAAATTGCTTAAACTATAGCCAATAAAGAAAAAAAACCTTCATATAAATAGGAGAAAAATTTACAAAGACTAAATGAGGAGCAAAATAAAGATAATGGCTTTTACTGCTTTTTTCCCCACATTTTACTGGAGGTCCTTTGTAGTTTAACAGTAAGGAAAAATAGCTAGCTAGTTAATAGATGTCATCCAGATTGTGAAGAAAGAAATGAAATCTTTTATTTTTTTCCATTTATGTATTTGGTCCAGGGTCTCACTACACAGCTCAGACTCAGTGATCCCCCTGTTTTCAGTCTCCCCAGTACTGGGATTACAAGTGTAAGCCATTACGCCCAGACTAGGTCATGGCTCAGTGAGCCCCGAGGGCAGGGCTGCTGTGGCATGTGGGACGGGGATCAAACCCTGGTCCTTGCACTTGCCAAAGCAGACACTTAGTCTGCTGAGCTATCTCGCCAGACCTAAAATCATCTTTAGTGACAAGACATAATTAGTTATGTTAAAAACTAGTACAGGACAGGGGAGGTAGCTCAGCAGTCTAAATGCCTGCCTGGCAAGTACTAGGGCCTGGGTTCAATTCCTGCTGGTCTTGGAACCCCAGGGCACTGCCAGCCACACAAACTGGGTGTGGTGGCACATACTGTAATCTCAGCACTGGGAAAGCTGAGACAGGAGGATCACTACTAATCTGAGCTGTGTAGTGAGACCCTGTACCAAATAAATGAATGAATAAATAAATAGAAAAACTAGTACAGAATTGACAAAACTCCTACTAGACATAATCAACAAATTTAGCAAGGTTGTGAAATACAAAATTAATATGTAAATATCAATTATTTTTCCATATACTACCAACAAACCCTTGGAAATTCAGATTTTATAAAAGCAACATCACTTGCAATAATATAAAAACATGACCTATATAAGGATCTGAAAATGTGTAAATTCCACACAAAAAACTATTCAACAATGCTAAGGGAAATAAAAAAGGATTTAAACAAGTAGAAAAAGTAGACCATGTTCATTCCCTGGAAGATAAGGTATTGTTAAGATCAATTCTTTCCAAACTGACCTATGTCAATATTAACGGATATGTCAGTAGGATTTTGTTGTTGTTGTTGTTGTTGTTGTTATTTTGTTTCCTGTGGAAAACTGAAAAGCACATTCTAAATTTTGCATTGAAAATAAAGAGCCAATACAGTGTTAAAAAAAACAAAATTGGAGGATTAACACTACTGATTTCAGACTACAGTGAAAACTACAATTATTGAAACAATTTTGCATTGGTGTAAGTGTATGCCAAAAGGTCAGTGGAAGAGAACAAAAAGCCTAGAAGTAAATCCTTAATATATGATCAATTATCTTTCAACAAAGCATTTAAATAAATGGTGCTAACAAATTTGGATAATTATCAGCAAAAATCCCAACCACTACTGCCACCACCAACAAAAACACTTCAATCTTTATTTCACACTACACATAAAAATTAACTCAAGGGTCAAGGGGGCTGGAGAGATGGCTCAGTAGAATAAGTGCTTCCCTGGCAAGCTCAAGGGCCTGGGTTCAATCCCCAGTTCCGCACAAAAAAAAAAAAAAAAAAAAAAAAGAAAGAAAAAAGTTAACTCAAAAATCATGGCATTAAATCCTAAAATCTAACACCATAAAATTTTAGGAAGAAAACATAGGAGAGAATCCTTGAGTCCCTGTTTAGACAAAGATTTCTTAAATATGTCCCCAGAAGCACCAGCCATGAACAAAAATTGATGAATAGGACTTCTTCAACTATTCACACTATGTACAAACTCTCTTTGCAACAAATATACTCAAAATGAACCCAATAAAAATAAGGGCAAAACATTTGAATAATAGGTAACCTAGGAAAACGGACGTAAAATAAGCAAACATAAAGATGATGAACATTTTCAGTTACTGGGGAAACGAAAATGCTTCTACGCTGAATACAATGAAAAAACTGAGCAAAAATTTGTGAGGATGTACAACAACTGGAATACTTACACACGCTCGGTGGAATGTTATGGGACAAGGAGTCTGGAGAACAGTTTATTAAAAAGTTAAACATCCACCATTCAGCCCCACCACTTCGAACTCTAAAGTATTTGCGGCAGAGAAATGAAAGCATATTTCAAGACCTTTGAATGCTTTACTTATAATACCTAAAAAAAGTAAGCAATCCAAATGTCTATCACCACATAGGAAAAACCTAACAAATTGTTGTACATCCAGATCATGAAATAGTACTGTTATAAAAGCAATGAACTAAGTATTACTATGCCTAGTGAGACACTAACAGGTATGTAAGTATATGTTTGTGAGTATTGACTAATTCATTCATATAAAATTCCAGAAAATACAAACTAATTTATACTGACAACCGGCATATCAATGGTTGTCTCTGGACAGGAAGGGAAGAAAAAGACAGGAGAGATTACAAAGTGTTCCTAGGAAATGGGGGTGGGGTATATTCATTATCTTAACTACAGCAGTGGTTTCAAGTGTCAAGACTTACCAATTTTATATTTCAAGTACTTGTTATTCATTATCATGTACATTTCATCTTAAAAAGCTGTTGTAAGTTTTAAAATTACTAAGGATAAAAACATTTAAAAGCTCAGTTCACCACATACACTAGTCACATTTCAAGTTCTTAATAGTCATACACAACTAGCAGCTTCCATTTTGGATAGGCCCAATGCGGGGTATGTCTATAACCACCGCCAGTACGTGGGGCAGCACTTCTCAAGTTGCCATTTCTTTCATCCCTCCCACATTTACCTATGCTAAACTTTCAAGACTGGGAGATAACATGGTGGTAGGGAACTGATATACAAATTATTCAAGAATTGTATAAAAACTTTAATTTTAAAATAATATTGTTTGGAAGCAAAATATAATTACTATTCTTAAACATATATACTACACCTTAGACATCATGACTTCTTTGGATAATTTTTAATAATTTCCTCTAATGCTAAAGTTTGACAGTAATTTTGGGCACTAAGTGACACAGAAAGCAATAAAAAGATCAATATGCTCTTGGAACTTCTTTTTTATTGGTAATCAAAGTGGCTATAGCTTCAGAATAACTCAATGGTAATACATATTTCCCACATACTTACAGATATCCTCTAAGTTAGCTTTTTATTGTTTCAGAACATAATGCTACATAATGCAAGTGAATTTTCCTTTTTAAATGAATCAAGCATATACTACCTTTACACAGCAAATATAAAAATTTCAAATGAAGGAGCAGACATTAAAATAGAACACTATGGTATGTACTGAAATATGCCATATTCAAGGAACAAGTTCAAAAAATTACGGCAGAGAAGTTGTTAAACTTTACATTTTGAAGTGGTACAGTATTTCTTATGTGAAGAATGTGGCAATAAATATATTTGGAAAAACCTAGGGAAAAAAAAAAAACCCAAAACTTCCCATTTTCACTGAAGCTTTTCCTTTCTCAGTTTTGAGACTGGGAGGAGGGGATTTTAATTAAAAAGGAAAAAGAGAGGACTAACACCAGAAAACCAAATTCAAATGCTATTTTCAGCCCCTATCTTAGTATTGTATGGATTTGGAAGCACAGTGTTAGCTTAGAGTTTTTGTTTCACTTGAGCGCAGAGTGAAATCCTCAACCTTCTCTGTTGCACGGCCAAACACACTACCCTTCCCATAGGGCACACTGGGGTGTCTGTCTCACCTCTGTCTCGGAAACAGAACACAGAAAGAGTCAGCTGGAGTGGGGAGGACAGAAAGGAGGCTGGAGGCCAGGGGAGGCAGCCCAAGACAATCCCCAAACTGTGCACTGGGGCAGATAAGCGGGAGGAATCAAAATAGAAACCGAGTCCCTCTGTTGTGGGCAGAACTCAGAAGCCAGCTTCACTTACTTTTTTACACCGACAGAGCCATTTTCCTTGTTTTCCATGTCAACAGATAGCATGGGAAGGCTGCAGGGTTCCTTTACTTCAGCAACTAATCAATAAGGGAGAAAAGCTTGTGTTTAATTTTTAGAAAGTGAGAGAAGAACATATATTCTGAATCGGAGACATAAAGGTCCCTTTCACAGCTTCACACCAGTTCAGGGTATGTTTGTTTAAAGCTCCTGTTCCCTCAGCGATTGGAGAGATGTGATTAAACCTACACAACTAGAGGAGACGGACTGGAGCGCTTTCATCCGCCCTGGCACTCCCCTCCTCGACAATGAGCATTTGCAAATGAAATTGAATCCTCGTTCAAAATAAGTGCTGGGCGACCCGGCACGGCGTCCTCTGCGTGCCACACTCAGTGAGGACACTGCAACTCAGAAATGAGTCCAAGTAGGAGACAAACAATCCCCCTTTGCCTGCTGCCTCCCACCGTGGGCTGGGATTTTTTTTTTTTTCTTTCCTTTTATTTGCTTTTTGGGGGGAGGGGGTCGACTCCTAGATTTTTTTCAATGCAATGCAGAAGGGCACTCAATGCTTTTGTCAGCAAGTGTTCGCCTACCTCACCTATTCCCAAAGCTTCAGAAAAACCAGCCTGGAAGGTGACCAGGCTGTGGTAAAGCAAAAAGCCTATTAAAAAAGATGTCAGATAACCCTTAATGCCAGATAACAGAAAGGTGGTGCAGGGTGTGTGTGTGTGTGTGTGTGTGTGTGTGTGTGTGTCTGTGTGTGTGTGTGTGTCTGTGTGCGCGCGTGTAAGACAGAGCTAATCAGATTTATGTAAAATCATCAAAACATTTAAGGAGATAGAGTAGCACGTATCACTCTTTTTGTTTGAGGGATCAAGACTGTGCCAAAATAAAAGCCCCCCATTAATATGCAATTAGCAAGATGAGAAAGCTACAAACAAAACTGCTTTAAGAAAGAAGAAGAAGAAGAAAAAAAAAAAAACTAGTCCCGAAACATATTTGCTGTTATTCAACTGAAGCCATAAATTCAATATACCTCTTCTCAAATCACTTTATACTTCGGCACTCCTTCTCCCGGGGTTACTCTGACACGGCAAGTGCATCATTTAGAATAATTCACAAGATTTTATCACTGTTAGCGAAGTAGATGATTAACAAATAACACTATAAGTGTGGGATAATCTCCACTCCTGAAACACACACAGCCACACAGCCACACACACACGCACACACACAAACTTCCAGTCGCTAAGTCACTTAGATTACTGCTAGAGAAATCCAACATTTAATATACATATAGATTCTCAGCCTCCAGCCACACACCGCTACAGAGTAGAAGGAACATAGTGCTGCTGCTCCAGCTCAAAGAATGATTTCACTTCAGTTGGAAACTGTTACACATTCACCATTTTCTAAAGCGTCTCAGAAACCAAACAAAACACTCACAATCACACCCTGCAACATCACACTACATTGTCTCATTATTATTACTAGTATTTCCTTTTTCTGGTGGAAAAGTAAAAAGAAAACCTACCTATAAGCAACTAAAACATATCAATTTTTATAGGGCTTATCAAGAACAGCCAAAGAAACCCCAATGTTTTCTTTCACAAAGTAGGCTGGCAAAGGAATTCAATAAGGAGGTACAATTTGACACAGTGAAATAAAACCAGGCTGGCTCGCAGCCAACATGACGTTAGGAATCACACACAAGCTGCACCAACTGCCTTCTGGTTCATGGCTGACTTTTTAAAGCTACAGTGTGCCTGTTCACTTTGGCCAACTACCTTCAGCACAGTTAGTGCAAGCGAACGAATCCCGAGGCCACAAACGGCAAAATTCTCCCTGCACCTGTCTTGGATGAAAAAAAAAAAAAAAAAAATCCAAACTGTCTTAATAGGCTCTTATTTTTCTCCCTCCCTTCCACTGTTGTTGCATATGCCTCTACTGTTGTTCTGAGCATAAATGTCACGTTTTGAACTATTTCTTTTTGTCTCTTCTCAAGGAAAAGAGGGAGAACCTGGGGGCTGGGAGTTAAGTTTAATGAACAACCCATAGCTGCCGTGCTATTACTTTTTTTTTTTTTTTTTCCGTAGTAAAGAGTCGTGGACAAAGTTCCCAGAGCTGGTTTTTAAGTAATCTCTTTGTGAGAAGAAGGAAAGCCTGCCCGGCAGCAAATCCCTTTACTTCATTAGGCAGGAAGCAGCATATTTCAGAGGATGTAAAATAGACGACCAGATCTCCTGAAAACACCCACGGCCTTTTATTTTGGCATTTATCCTACCCCACGAAACCAACAAAAATTCAAACTGGAACAAAACTTTATTCTACAAAAGAAAGCAAACAGTTATGAAAGGTTTCATTTCAATTGTTTATCCCAGCTGCCAAAAAAAAAAAAAAAAAAAGCATTATTCAACAAATGTAAGCAACACAATTTATGAACACCTAATACTGTACGGGGTGAGTCACATATGAATAGGAAGACATTGTACCAACCCCCAAATTTATAGTCTTTTACCATTATCCTAAAACCTAAATCAGGAAATTGCGAGGCAGAATAGAATGGCTGGTTGAGAGTTTTTAATTAAATTACCCTCTAACAATCTCACACTTCCTTGGCTTGGCTGAAGAGAAACATTCTTACTTCGTAAATATTTTGTGATCCTGGTACCTCCCCTGCCAGGTACTACTTCATAAATAGTTTGCACACACAGAGAAAACCTATAGTTTCCTCTTTTTTTGAAATAAACACTTGTCAACATTTAGACATATTTAGTTCAAGGTATCCACAAAACTACTCAAAATAGGGAACAGTATACCTATTCCTCCAAAGGATCAGGGAAAATCCACTTCATCGTGTACGATTCAGATAGAATTGAGAAGAAAATGTTCTACCATCCTTTTATTTAGAAAGTCTTTAAGGGCACTTGCAGGTCAGCAACTACCATCTGAATTTGGAATCTGAATTCTGAAGTCCACTGCTTCTTCCAGGAATGTCCCTGGACACCTTCAATATCCTGAAAGACCATCCCGGAGGAGTGCTTCAAGTGTTCTCTCTACCTATCTTTGCCATTGTTCCCCTACCCCCGGGGGGGCAAAAATGAACAATTTTTAATTTAGGGACTAATTCTCTGAGGTCAAATACTCTTGAGTTCTGTCTGTCTGTCTGTCGCGCCGTGGATCAGGCATGTGTCAGTGCAGCTGACCATGATGGGCCCTGAGGAGACGAAGAGCTCTTTCATCAAGATTCCATGTTTTTGGCCTGGAAATTCCTGAACTACTCTCCAACTAAATCCAAATGGAAGGGGACTGGGTGCGAATCCTGCCGCAGGCAGCGGAATGTCACGAGCTAGGCTCACCACTCCTGAAGGGAAAGAGGCCAAGAAAATGGAGTTCCACCCAACCCTTCCTCAGATACACTCCCAGGAGGAAGGATTCTCTGAAGTTTTTCCAAGCACTTCTTCCTACATATAGAAAAGAACAATCCGTGCCTGTCGCCTGCTGTGATCAAAAGTTTACTTGTTAAACAGTGGAAGGCTTCAGAAAGTGTTGCTGAAATCAGTCCCAGGGTATGAACAGTGAACCACGAAGGGACTCTCAAGTATGACAACAAAGTTTCACTTATCAGCGAGTTTTAAAAGTTTGGTAATACACTGACGTTTGTGAATAAACACACACACACACACACACACACACACACACACACACACACACACACTACAGTGTACTCACCTATCCCCTTCTCACACCATGCAACAAACTGTGGCTTACTTCAATGGTGTGTGTGTGTGTGTGTAGTGTGTGTGCGCGCGCGCGTGTGTAGCGTGTGTGGTTACAGGTCGCGGGGCGGTCACTTTGGGACCCAGCACATTTTGGGATTTGCTCAAGTAACTCGAGATGACCCCGGCCGGCTTCGGGACCTGCAGCAGCACTTGCAGGCCGGGTGGGGTCGGGGCGCCCGCTGCCCCGCTCGGCTGGCCTCTCTGCCGACCCTCGCTCACTGGGGCGGCCGGCGCCTTCGCAGGACCGTCCCGCGCGTCCGATCAGCCCGCGTCGCCCCCGCAGGGCGCCGCCAGGAGCCAGACCCCCGGGCGTGCCCCGCCGCGGACCCCGCGAAGTTTCTGCTCCGACCAGCCGCTGCGCGACCCTGCGGGGGCAGCCGTCTCGGGGGCGGGCCGGGGCATCCGCGACCCTAGTGCCCCGGAGGGGCGTCCGCGCCCACGGGTGCAACAGGCGGCGGCAGCGCGGGGCTCAGCAGCGCCACAGCGCAGCGCGGGGAGGCTCGCGCAGTCCCGCCTCCCGGCCCCGGCGTCCTCGGCTCCCCGCAGCCCGCAGAGGGGCGAGGGCTGCGCTCACCTCCCGCGAGGTTTGCCCCGCGCAGCGCCCCCCACCCAGCCCGGGGCCCCGCGGTGCGCGGGGCACGCCGGGAGTTGTAGTCCGCGGGACGGGGGTGGGGGCGGGACCCGAACCCGAAGGGTCTGCTTAGGATTGAGCGGCTAGGGATGGGGGCGACACTGCAGCAATTTACACTTCCAGGGCCAGAGGGCAGGGGACACTCCTGGAGGGATGTTTCGAAATGAATGTTTTCGGGTTTCTACCACTTTTCCCCATCTTACTCGCTCCTGATAACCCTTGTTGAAGTTTTAAACTGGGAGTTGGCAGCAAGGTTACCCCGAGCCAAATTCGATTTGTAGTCTCCACTCTTCCTGCGCTGCACGCTTCCTGCTCCACTCTTCCTGCGCTCTGAACACACACACCTGTCGCATCCTCCTCTTGGGACACTGTTCTGTGGCTCACAAAATACTTCAGTTGAAGCCTTAGAATGTTTTACAGCACTTGTAAACCATTAAAAAAAAATTCTTATGATCTGTTATATTAGACCCATGAAGCAAGATTGGGATTTAGGCAGCGAAAAGCCAGAGATGCAGCGAAGTTCGTGTGTCTCTCCTTGTGCAGACTGAAGTCGCCCTGAACCTTTGGGGGTGTGGGGGAGGCGAAGAAAGGTCTGGGCACAGAGGAGGGAGACAACAAGGAAGAAAAGGGGCCTGCTATAGCCGACGAGCGAATCCTTAATAAATATGGAGTGGAACGACACTGGGGAGGAAGGAGGTGGTGCGATTGTAACGGACTCCGCAGAAGACAGTGAGCAGACTGGAAGGGACATGCAAACGCGGGTCTGCTGGCCAGCCTGGACAATTTAGTGTGACCTTGTCTCAAAATAAAATAAAATTTAAAAGGGTTGTAGCTCAACACTACAGCCCTGGCCTAGCATGTGCAAGGCCCTGAGCTCAATGTCCTGTATCAGAAATTAAATAATCTAACAAACGTAAATAAAGTTGCATCCAAAAAAAAAAGAAAAACAAATGGAATTTTAGAAGCCAGAGAGACCTGAAATTGGGGCTTTGTCACTTCTGGGTTGGTCCTGTAACTGCAGTAATGAAACCTCTCGGAACATCTTTGCCTGGTGTTTAACATTTTTAGCAGTAACAGTTCCTATTTTGTGATGTGGTTGTGCAGATTGAAAGAGACAGGAAGCTTTTAGAGTAGTGCCTGGAATATCGGAATCACCCAGCTAATGTTCACTGTTATTATCTACAGAAACACCTTCTGATGCAGAATCAAAAGACAGATTGGAGATGAAATACCAGTTAGGAGACTCTGACCCTACTCTGAACTACAGGTGATGATATCTTGAACTACCTTAATAGAAAGGAAGGAGCCATGAGCACTTGGGAGGAAAAGTGGACGGGCAGGGTGACCAAATGCATGTGGGGAATGAGGGAGAGGGGTTAAAGGTGGCTGTGAGCGCTAGACTGAGTGTTGGATGCTGCTGCTGCTGCTGCTCATACACAGAGAAGCAGCTGATGGCACAAGGTGACTAGGTGGATTCTGGGCGTGTGATACTGTGGGTCCTTCTGAGTATGAACGACCAAATAACGACAGATGGCAATGTGGATTTGGATACTACATGTAGAAATACAATTTCAAGTGCCATTTACTTGATAAAGGTAGTTAGTTGAAGAGCCCTTGCAGAGAAAAAAGGGAAGGGGCTTGGTGGTGGTGGTGGTGGGGTGCTGCAGGCCGTGGTGATGCCAAGCAGGACTAGGGAAGGTGGCCAGAGAGGGCAGCAAGGCTGAGAGGGCTGAGGAAGGAGGGAGGGTTGAGAATGAGCCTGGCAACAGGCCGCGCACTGCAGAGAGAGCCTATGACCGCAGAAAAGACGGACAGGCTGCGTAGATCTGGAGGCTACTGGGGAGCAACTACCTGAGTTCTTTTCAAAATCTACCAGCCTGCTTTTTGCTTTTTCTAGCAATTGGGGAGGAGCACTATTATATAGTTGGTGGCGCCAAAGATGCTGGCTGTGCTCCATCACGTGGAAAGGCCCTGCACAGCAAAGAATCGTCCCACAATCCTGAGCCACTCGACTGTCCCACTGTTCATTGATGTAGCTGCTAACCCTAGGTACAATGACCTGAATCTAGAATCTGTTTTGCATATGAAAACAGAGCATTTTTCCCCCACACAGTTTAAAACATAATGAATTTTCTTGGAATGCAGTGAATTGAATGGCAGTATCGTTCATGGAACTTGAATTAATTCATTTTGTGGCTGTCTTTTTCTTGGTGAATCTGCAGATACACACAAATACCTGACTAATCGCTAGCCTTAGTTCTCCTAGCTAGGGGAACACCCAAGGGCCAACCTTTCCCCATTCCTCCCTCCCAGCCCTCTTCCAAGCCTCTGATAGCTGCTGGCCTTCTGGATTTCAGAGAGAAGGAGCAGCAAATTTGTCATTTGTAGCTGGATCAACAAGACTGCGAGGTTCCAAGGAGGAGGTCTGAAGATAACCCTTAGAGTGGGGACAGTCAGTATGTGCTTTGAGGCATTACAAGGACTTTGGCTTTCACTCTAAATAAAATGGGCCCCTGCTGGAAGAGTTTTGAGTAGTCAAGTGACATGGTCAGTACATTTTTAGGTCATTTTGGCTACTCTATCAAGGACAGAGTATAAACAACAATGGTGGAAGCTAAGTAAGAAACTATTACAGTGACCCTGGCAGGAAATAGTAGTGTCTTGAAGCACAATGGTAGCAGTAAAGAGTGATGGGCTAGATGTGGAAGAAAAACCAAGAATTTCTGAGCACACAGAGGAAGAGTTTCTGGGATTGGAGAAATGTGGAAGATGAGTAAAGAATGTGTTAGGACCTTGTGGGAAGGAGACACTGGCAATGACCTGGAGTTTTTTGGTAACCAATAAATCCAGATAAAGGGGATAGTGAAATCAGCCTCTGAAGAATCGAGAAATAAAATGACGGGGAGGCTGTGAGTATGGGAATTAGGATTGAATGCTTGGACTCTGACTTCATGAATAGAGATATGGAGGTGTAAGAATCAAGTGGATTCTTTTTTTCCACTTTCTTTTTATTAGTGCATATTGGTTAAATGGATTAATGGGTGCCATTTTGACAGACTCATACATGCATATAACATACTTCATTTTCACCCTCCTTGCCTTGTCTTTGGACCTATTTTCAATAAATATAATATACTAACCTCCCCATTATACCTCCTCCTCCTTCTTCCCTGTTTTCTAATACTAGTTCCTTTTTTATTTTTTTCCTTATTTTTAGAGGAAAAAATGCCACATGTGATGCCACATATTAGGGAGACTATGTGATGTAGTATTTGCCTTTCCAAGTAATCTAGCTTATATCTCACTCATTGTGATTCATGGTCCATGGTGGAATGTTGAAGGCCTGGAGGTGGGGTTGGGGACTCAATTCAAAGGCCTCTGCTCACTCATAGTCCCTGTCAGGAGGGGGGCAGGCTTGTTTGGGCTGTAGAATCCTCTTTCTTTCTGCCCTGGATCTTTCTGATTGGACTTGAGCCTTTTAATGGAGCTGCGGATCGGAGCAATGGGGAATTACTCTAAGCATAAAGATTCACGAACAAGGCTGATTCAGTAGGTTATAGCTTGTAAAATGTTGAATCTGGGATGACTATGTAAATGGAGGAATTTTTAGAATTTTGGTGAAGGCATGCAAGAAGAAAACGGTCCCTTCACGTGAAGATCCTCGCTAGGAGTGGGAGCAGGAAACAACTACTTCTGTACAATGAAGAAGTCTTTACAAGTAGAAATGTAAAACTCAGAACAGAGAGAACAATGACTGAAGTAACATATTAGAGAAGAAAAAGAAAGTAAATTACTTATTCTTGCAAGGAAAACAATATAATTCTTCCTCTGAGAAGGGAAAAAACAGTGGTAGAATGGGCTAACTCAGGAATATTTAAAAAATTATGAATACATAAAGGAGTAGAATACTTCAAAAATGTTATTTATTATGAAAACAAGGTGTGTGGTAAAAAATGGAAGTCACTGATTTCTAATAAACCATCCCTAAAATAACATTTCCTAAATGTATTACTTACATTTTTATCATGTACTGTGGTTTCTTTTTGAAATGTTATGTGGACACATAAAATATTGGTATTTTTGTTTATTTGCTCTATGGTTCATAGATAAAATTTATTGAGGATCTGTCATGCTACTTGATTGTAACTTATCAAGTTATTTCTCTGTTTTTTTTTCTCTTTTTGATTTTTTTGAGACTCAAAAAGTTTTATCAAATTCTCCTACGATTTCTCTTACTTTTTTCTCTCAAAGTTTTGGTATATGTACTTCATTGCTATACTATTTTGTACATTAAGATTCATACTGGTAATAACTTTGCTGTGAATTTTATCCTTTGATATTATTAAATGAATGTGCCATTTAATTTTTTTTACATATTTTTTCCTATTCCATTTGGAACTATTTCAATTAGGTTTTATCTTTGCATGGCTGTTTATATTTTGAATTGAATATTTTTAATTATTTTACTGTTTCTTTGTATTCTCTTTTGTTTTAAAACCTGTGTTTTCTCACTATTTTTTTGTTGTTGTTTGTTTTTGTTTTTATTTTTGTAGTACCAGGGATTGAACTCAGGACCTTGTGCTTGCCAGGCAGGTACTTATTTTGCTGAGCTATCTCCCCAGCCCCACTTGCTCTTTTGTTTGTATTTTACTTTTCTCCCCATTAATGTCAAAGGTCAATAAAGCTGGATTGTATTAAAGTGGCTAAAGGTGAATTTTAATCAGAAATAACTATTATAATAGGGAACTGAGTCCAGCGTGAATTGAACCCAGTGTGAGCTTCTGTAGAAATGACCAGGCTAAAATGGGAGTAGGGAAGGCAACAATTGGGGGCTTGGGAGAGTCAGGGAACTGAACAACTACGACATTCATCAGTGTGAAGTGAGAAGACCAGTTGTGTCTTACAGCAGGATTCTTCTGTCCTACAGAGGTGACGTCAGAGGACCCTTTCTCCTTAGGGATTCTACTTCCAAAGGATGGCTTTCAGGTTCTTGAGAAAGCACTTCTGAGTCATAGGAGGTGCAAGAGTTGGAGGAAAGATTCAGAATTACAAGTCCTTTTTTAGTAATCGCTCTGAGAAAGGGAGGTCAGGGGCCTCTTGTCAGGTGCTGACTAAAACACATAGTTCAAGGCTTCTGGAAGGCCTGAGCCGCATCAAGGTGGTACTTTAAGGGTGCTAGG